TAGTGGAGTATGAAGCCCTCTATCGCGAATGTCAACGGAGGGGGGGAGGTAGTGCTAGTGGAGTGCACGCGTCTCAAAGAAGCGAGAATCAACTCAGTGAACAACAGATACCAAGGATGCTGGCTGATGAAGGAGACGAAGTACGCTAGGTAGCCAATATAAGGCTTAGTCATCTTGCCAAATAGTGAGCCCACATTTATCTGTACTGCTAAGTCTTATATTGGCTACCTAGCTTACTTCCTCTTCTTCATCAGCCAGCATCCTTGGTATCTGTTGGTAACATGTGGGCTCACTATTTGGCAAGCAACCGGTCACAGTCGCCCTGTTTATCTCATGTCTTATAAAAGCTTATTAAGGATTTATAAAGTGTTCACAACCTAATTAATAAATTAACTACAAACTATTCGTAAACCCTTTTTAAGGGTAGTCTTATTGTAAAGTGGTACCGAATGTTCTTAGCATGTTGTTAGCATTTTGTTAGCATGCTAACATTTGAGAAATGTATTTGGTCATTAAACAACATATTTGACCAGATCAAATGTGAATCCTGATGATGGCACTAAATGAAAAGTTAAGGGATCAGTTATTTCTAATTGATCCTTCAGGGAACTTGAACATCTGTTGCACATTTTTGAAAATATTTGAATGAATTGTAAATAAGATATTACGCTTAAATTTCAACCTCATGGTGGTGCACATCAACCATCAGGGATCACTCATTTCAGTTAGACTGATATTTTGGAAAGCATGAATGTCTGTACACAATTTGATGGCAATATGTTGTATACTGTATTTGTTGAGATGTTTCAGTCTGATCCAAAGCGGTACTGCTAGAAATCAAACATACAGGACACCTATACTTTCTGATTTACATCATAACAGTTCAACCCAATTAGTTTTCTTTGTGTTGAAGTGTTGAAGTGTTTGTCTCGTATGAAAGCTGCTGTACCTTTAACCCCCTCTGGAAGGTGGAGATGGAGAGCAGAGCGAGGTCCTGCTGCTCCTCTGCGTAACGCACCAAGTAAACATACACCAGCTTCTTCACCTGCGGAAACAAACGGACTGTTTTAATCCAAATGATGTAGATTAGTTCAAACTAAGATAAAAATATGAAGCAAAGTGATAACAACTTCAGAAAAAGGAGAGGATGGAAATAGCCATTTTGGTTGAGGTGAGATAAATCCAAAACCCACAGGGCTTTGAAAAATGTGATAAGACGATTCTTAAATTACAAGCAAGAGGAAGCGATGCGGAAAGCAACTTCTCTACCAGATAAAAACAACACAAGCCGAAGAAAAACAACAAATACATTAAAGCCTTTTTTACAAACCTCAATGTTTTTACAGGCCACATTTTTCACCACAGCAGGGAAGAGATCAGATGCATTTTTTCCACGTGCGATCATCTGCAGAGAAGAGCAAGAAAAACGCAGCAGTGAGGATTTACAAGGTGACCTTTTTCATTCATTTGCAAAATAATTGTTTTTATATTTTATTCTAGCAGGCTTTTCCTTCCCTTGTTATCGTCCCTGTCCTGCAGAGATGATGAATGAGGAAATGGGTGTGGAGCTTCAGATTATGAGTTATGAATATTTAACAGCTGACTGCGCATTTCTCTGACCACGGTATTTTAATCTCCTATTAAAGCAGTCTTATCCTTCAAATGTATAAAATCAAGTTTGATACACAGAACAAGCTTCGTGTGTTTGTCTGAATGATTTTTAAATGATGCACGTTGACTCGTACATATGGCGTTTGTTTTCTCATAACTTAGCGGGCCGTGGAGAATTCCCTAAGTAAACGCTATGTATACTCACAGCCACGATGCGCTTCATCGCCTCCAGCTTCAGCGAGTCTTTGTTGCTGTCCAACATCTCCTTCAGGTCGTCGTGTCTGAGGAAGGAAAACATTTTTAAGCTGCGGGGGGAACTGAGTGACCTCAAAACAAGAAACATGGACCTGTTTGGGTTTCATTCAACGCTCACAATGTCTCAAAGTCGGCAAGCGTGACCCAGAAATTATTCTCTTTGAAGAACGAAATCCAGCTCGCAAAATATGGAAAAGCTTTGAAACTGCGGCTCATAAAAAGAGGGGTGTAAAGTGACACAATCCCAAAAACATGTTTACTTCTCAAAAAGAAGATCAAAGACATAATCCAGTGCAACTGTAATGAACCACAAGGTCTAATGATATCATACGGCTCACTTCTTTACTGTTCATATAACTCGATAACCAACAACTGCAGGAGCAGAGCGCTGAACTGGTCAGAAAATAGGCAACACATTTTCTATCCATCAATAAAAAAATGTAATCAAGCACGATTGTAAAACAGTTTCTTGTTCCTCAAATTTGAGGATTTTTTAATGAAATAAAAATATTGTGAATATCATTGGGCAAAACAAGTAGTTGGAAGAAGACACCTTAATTGTCATTTATCACTATTTTCAATCTGTCATTCTCACTGATCAACTACTTGTGGTATTGTGTTATTAAATTAATCATTCATTTCGATCTTACACACATTTTGGTTCTGCTCCATCCAAGTCTAATCAGAGACCTTCAATCTACATCTTGAACAAATTGCTCTCCAACCCTTTTGGTACGTGGAGAATTAGAAGTCTCTTCATTTTCTAAATGATTATGATATTTTTTCTGACACTGCAAATCTAGTTATCACTGCTGCTGGTACATCCTGAGAAATCAGATTCAAACCTCATTCCTGATACCTCTGCTATAAAACATAATGATTAATTGCAACCCTACTAAAAAGGGCCGTTTCTTCAAAGTAAGAAATCAGAAAAAAGTATTTATTTATGTCAAAACCGCAATGATCCCCAACCCTAATGAACATGAATTAAAAAAAATCTAAAAAGATATCTCCTACATTATAAATATATATATTTTTTAGGAAAACAGCCTGCTTTTCATTCCACATACACTATGAGTTTCTGTGACCCAGTTAACATGCGACTCCCCCTTGTCAGAGACACTGGGATCACACCAGAGCTCACAGAGGGATCATTTTAAGGATCTCACCCTCCACCCTGCTGCCACACAGAAACACTAAAACAACACCGAGAGTTTCCACAGAAGCTGCCAGGAGGAACCTGCAAACAGCAACAGAGCGGACAGATCAGAGCAGCTGGAGAGACGCCACATAATGACATGTCCAAACACTGACCCTTCACATCTGCCTATGTAACACAACAGGAGGAAACACTTCACCTTTTCCTAGAGCAAGAAAACCTTTACAAATAATGAGTTATAATTAGGATAATGCAACATGTCCTATTTTCTTTATTACACATTCAATTGTTGGTATGAGATAGGGCTGAACGATTAATCGATTTTAAATCGAAATCGCGATTTTAAATGATGCAATTATCAAATCGCAAAGCCTGCGATTTTTTTTCAATTATATATATATATTTTTTCTATTTTTCTTTTTGCAATTTCTTTTTTTTTCAATCTGAAGTGCTGTGCTCCACATGTACCAGCCATTGTTAACCAATCAGAAGTGGCCCATGATAGAAGGTGATAGACAGATTGTGACAGATTTTGAAAGTGCCTGCCCTTACCAAATGGCTTCCAATGGAGCTTTCCTAGATGGTTTGGTGAAACAAACCATCTGAGTCAGGTTAGTAATGCTCCATCACATGTTTCTATTACAGGGTGAATCTTAAACTGAAGCTTGACTTTAAAGTAACCCAACGGAAGTTTCATGTTAGTTCTTTCACTCGTAGCTCGGGCTGCGGGGGTGCTAGAGACGGGAGCACGTTGATACGACCTTCCTAGCCGGAGATATGGCCGCATTTTACAATAAACTTACGTTGGGTCGCTTAAAAACAAATATCGCAATTCGAATCGCAATCGCAATATTTGTCAGAAAAATCGCAATTAGATTTTTTCCCAAAATCGTGCAGCCCTACAACCTACACTCAGCAAATCCGATCGCTTGTGTTCCTAAACATGTGGCGGGAGTCAAATCCTCAAACACAATGATGTCGGCTTGTAAACCCCATAATGATGATGAGTGTGTTACATAAACAACGACGCTTCCAATTAACTTCAGTGACTAAAGTCCATACGTCTGAGTCACACACATTACTCTACAATGACCTGGCATTCCTGGCACACTACTTCAAACTGAAATGGATCACACGGTGATGACTGGACTAAAGGCGGTGTTGCTCAACAACCTGCTCCCAGCGCTGCTCTCCTTTCGTTTACCTTCAGGCAGTTGGGATGGACGATCTCGTTGCAGATGGAGCACTCCATCAGCATGAAGTTGAACTTTTCCTCCTCTTCCTCCAGTGTGTCCTCTTTCCCGGCCTCCTTACACACCACACACACCGCCGTGTGAGGCAGCACCGGCTGTGTGAAGAGAGGAAAACATCAAGAACATGTAGGAAGAGGGCCGCCATGATGTCAGATCCTCACTACTAGATGCATGTGGCCAATGAATGCATCATAACAATATTATTGCGAAATCTATAGGACATTTACAAATAATTAATAATAATGACATCAGTCTTTAACTTTGTCTTTTGACAGTTCTCTCTATTGGCAAAATTATTATACTAAAAATATTAGTGTAGGGAAGTGGAGAGAATCTGTAACCATAACTCTACAATAGTGAAAAAAGAAAAACGGAAATTATGATTATTTGTATGATATTATCACATGTGTTTAATGAACATGATATCAATCTTAACATTTTATAATTTCACAGTTATTAGCAATACCTTACAACTCTTTGCAGGAATAATTACGATTTAATTAAACCAAAATGATATTATCGTGACTTTTTAGAAGAGAAACAGAGCACATAGCTATTTGTCTGAGTCACAGCTTGTATTTGTGGAAAACATTTGTCAAAGCTTTCTAAAACTACCAATGAAATGTCAAAGCCCTCCCTTGTAAGTGTGCCACTCACTGCAATGCACTGCCTCATGATGCAGGACTGCTTCATGCGCCCCGGCCCTCCGAACTTCTTCATGTCTTTGCAGAAGTGACACTCTCCACACTCGGTCCGGACGCACGCCTCGCACTTCCGGCATCGCGTCCTCCTGCGTCTCGCTCCCGACGAGCTGCGATTGGACGGCAGCTTGATGGCCGCCGCCGACGTCCCAACCTTCGGCTTCGGCCGGTTGGCCGCCCGCTGCTGGAAGAGGAAGAGAAGAAAGTTAGCTGAAGGACACACAAAGATGTCATGAGTCTTTAAGCAAAAGAAAAACATTAAAAAAAGATAATGATGCTGGATATTATTCAGCTTCTCTGTCGTGACCTGCTGAAGCTGAGCATCAGGACACATATCAAAGTGTATCCTGATATGTTGCACTCACACAATATACTGTTTGTTCATGCTTTAGATATAATTCATTGTTCTTGCCCATGTTTGATAATAACAGTATTGTTAGAGTACAGTAAACAGGTTAACTTCACATCAGGCAGATATGCCAGCATTAAGGTGAGGTCAATTATATCTGTAGAACTTAAAAAGGACTTTCGTTCCCTACCGCTCTGTTGGTTACATTTTCTTATTGTGCTTTTGTACAAGACATCAGACAAAGGACATCACTTTCTTCACAGTTAATTCATTGTTTATTTTATAAAATGCCACAAAAGAAATGTGAAGAACAGCCACAATCACAATTTTGCAGAGCACAGGGAAACCACATTAAATTCACTTTTTTTTTCCAGGTAGTCTTGAATTAAAAAATGATATAAATAAGAGATTGGCGGAAAGTCTTTACATTTGAAAAGCAGGAGGACTTTTCTGTTAATTGACTCAATAAATTGTTCCAGCCCTTTCTTTGAGAGATGGTTACATTAAATGAATTGATTGTTACAGGTTATACGATCCTAACCATCCTTTTATATAATCAAAGTGCTCCTCTCCAACAGCTCCGACCTCTCTGGTAAATTGCAAACATGCACACTGCTGAGTGTGACTCATGGGAGTGAAAGAAATGAAATAAAAGGGTAGCGTGGTGATTAAACCGCTCTGCACTCAGCTTCAGATCTCTGCTCATAATATCTCGTTTGTGCATTTCTCACATTTTATTTTTAGACTCTTCCCTGTTGCCATGGCAGGACTATGAAAATAAGACAAATCGCAGACCATAACAGCGAGTCTTGTTCTAGCAGGAGAGGTTACCTAGGCAACACGTTTGCCTTGCTGGGGGCAATCTGTTTGAAAAGACGACTGCAAGAGATGATAAAAATAAGCTCTCAGCGGGAGGCTTTACTGCAGGATTTAATCACTTATTACCAACACTGCATTTCAGCACACCATTATTTATTGTTAATGCGAGAGTGATATCAGGTCAAACAGGTCAAACAAGATGGAAATAAAACAAAACACTCGGTCTAACGACATTTTACACTAATGCTTTCAGAGAGATATTAGGAAGAGACAAGAGAATGAAGTGTGCACACATACAAGGAAACAACAAGCAGAAAAATAAACCATTCTCATTTCTGTATTCACTTTTAAAGGTTTGTGTTGGAGCGCTAGGGGGGAGTGTGGGAGAGACGGATTTTAGCCTCTGCAGACTATTTACATGCACAAAAACCTAAATAACACTATAGCAAAGGGAAAACTCCAAAAAAGCACAATAGGGCACCTTTAAAGTAAATGCAAGAGTCTTGCTGTTACTTTTCAACCTCAAGGTCAGATGCAGGTATTGCAGGTGGTTTGGACAAAAGCATCTACAACATGAAACGTAATGTATTGATACATTGTTGCCTTCAATGTAATCAGAAATACACATACAGCTAATCACAACAACAATAAAGCTGAACACAGTTCAAATGTACCCTACAGTTACATATACAGTTATTAGAAACGTAAAACAATAACGACATTTGTTAATACAGTAATGCAACAGAGCATACTGCAGAAGGTGCAGGAAAATAAATCAGAGGATATGACAGTAAAGGGTATACAGGGATTTATACAAATTACATTTACTTTATACTACATCTATAAGTGATTGTGTTTACCTGGTTGTTTGTGTTTAAATAAATGAGTTGAAGTATATAATAATAATAATAGATTTATTTTGTTAGTGCTTTTACAGGTGCTCAAAGACGCTTTACAGATATACTTTGAATATATGTTCGAAGATGCATCTCTGTATTATATTCTTTGTCTGAACAAGAGCTTGACGCTTGTAACCTCACGCGTAGTAATTGAATACATGTTCATGGGACCATCATGAAAGGCACTGACACTCATTTTCTATCTTTTAAATGCTCCTCTGTTTCGAACTTACTATAAATCACCTGGACGTGGATGCTTTTGTATTTTTACTTTTACATGATATTTCTTTTGGAATCTTATCATGAGATTCTTTTAAATGGTATGTTTTGATTGAATGATCTCTCCTGGCATGTTGCCATGAATGTATCCGACTCCTGTGGAAATATGGGAGGGAAGCATCAGAGGAGTGGCTGCAGCTGCAGGGCGACTGTCAACATCACACAATGTTTTTTTTGTTGTTCTGCTGCTATATTATGTTCCTGACCTTGTCTGACACAACGGCTTTATATCATTTCTTAAGTCAGCCTCTAAAGAAAGCCATTTCAATGACAATGTTAAAGGAGATGCAAAGATGTATCATTTCATAATTGTAAAAAAAACCTCTCATCTCCAGCTTTTTAAATGTTAGTATTTTCTGATTTCTTAACTCCTCTCTGACATTGAACTGAATATATTTTGAGGTTGTCATCTTGGGTGTTTGTAGACACTGATCAACATTCTTCACCATTTTCATGTTATAGACCAAAAACAAGAAATACCTTGCCGATGAAGCTCTCATATATTTGCCATTAAAAAAAGTATTGTTAGTTGCAGCTCTTGATGGAAGGTTTTGAGCACAACAAATGCTCCAGTCTCTGCAGATCTCACACAACCAACTTGCTCTAATTAAAATAAATATGTAGCATAAAGCTCAAAACAAATCTGTGCACTTTGCAGAGCACGGCTGCCAAAGCAACTATCAGCTGACCTCGTCTTTACTGTAACTCTGTGCAGTAATGTGTCAGGAATTTGGGATTGCTTCCTGAAGTGTGGGAAGAAAAAACATGGCTTGTATTCTTGTGTGAGCGTGGTTTTGTGACTCAGCTTCAGCATGGATTTCAGAGGAAATCAGTCACAAGGCTCATCTATTGGTTGTCCTCAAAACAAAAGAAAAAGTGAGTGTGGCTTTCTTCAACACCATGTCCGAAGAGGGCAAACCACCGCCTCTGAAGAGCTGTTATTGGGTGCTGTATGTGTAAACATTGTGTAAGCAGCAGGACCTGGCTCTTATGTCAGCACCTCTCATATTTCTGCTCCGTTGTGAAGGCCAAGTGTCTAATGGAGACTTGTGCAATATCACTGTTAGAAAGCATTCATGGCCAAATTACACACACACTTCCTACCACAAATGAATAGGCATGTCGCAATAATAACATTATCGTACAATACAATTGAATATTCTCATTTATTTTTGCTGACCTCATCATTGGCTGTTGTTTTTAAGTTTGATTTTGTTTACCCTAAAAATGTCAGCAATATTTAAAAGCACATGATGCCAGAATAAACACCAGGGTTTCCCCTTTCATTATAAGACCGCAGTGTTGCTCCCTATTCCCCCATGTGCCATCTATTTAATATTGTTTAAGTGCATGTTTCTGTAACAGAGCCAGCAGAGTGCATTACATGTATTGTTTTAGTTGTGTTGTATGAATTATCCATGCTTTATTTATATAGGATATTATGTATTCTCTCAATAGGATGTGTAAATATATAAGAAATAAAAGTTGATGCTATGTGAAAGAGTGTACTTGCTTTATTATGTTATTATAATTGTCATAGATAGTCTTAAAATGCCAGTAATTCTGTTTATCGATACTATATCTGTGGCAATATATCCTGCAACAAAAGTAGTTGTTATGACAGGCCTACAAATAAAAACTTTCTCCTAAAGAACCTCAGAAAACAGAGTGTAATATCTGATTTAAAAAACTCCAGTGCTGTATTTTCCTCTTCCTGGTGCAAGACAAGTGGCCTAAAAAACAACAACAGTTTAAGTCAAACCATTATTCCAGCCAGGGGTTTGAGGGGTCACTGGACCCCAGTTTGGGAACCACAACAGAAGTAGCAGAGCCCCTTCATTGTTCCCTCACCCCATCCCCCCCGCCTCTGCTAGACAACATTGAGCATAAAGCCTTCTTAAAGGCACAGAGTGAGAGGGGTAACTTTAGGAAGTGTGAGGAAATCAATCACAAGTATGCATTTTTTTTCACTAACCGGACATGTGGGATTAGAGTACATTGTGTAAATCACAGCGTGTACATGTAAGGCTTTTCAGATAGATGGAAGATTTTGTCCACACGTGTATAACATAAGAGGATGAAACTCTGTATTAAGAGGTGGTCAGTACAAAATGGGTCAGTTATGGCTAACGTGATATATGTTGTCCAAGGAGGAGAGGACACGCTGTGTGTGTGTGTATGTGTGGACAGACAGGGTATCAATCCCAATAAGCAGCCCGACTCTATTTAACCATGTTTACATAACATTAACTGAGTATTAAACAGTATGACTGTAGAAAGGTTATAAAAAGGACACATTTCAACTCGATACTGAGGAAAACAGCGGGTAACCTGAAGCCACAGAAGAAAACACATTTCCACTCGCAAAAACCTTTCTCTCTCACCGCACGTTTTGACAAAAACACACACGTATACAAACGGAGGTGACATAATGAAATGTGGGAGCTCTGACCTGCTCAGACTCTGAATCATATTCCTCATCGTCTCCGCTCAGTGACAAGGCCATGGCTCCTCTCTCTCATCGTTTGTGAACACTAGAGAAAACTAACATGGCTGAACAAGCTTCCTGCAGCTCAACTCATTCACCCCTCCCTCAAACAGGCAGCTGCTAGCAATGTTCACTGTGCTGCGTTCAGGAACCATGGGAAACGTGGGGAACACCGACTTCCTACTTAGCTAACAGCATTCTGGTTGGCGAAAAACAGGCAGTCGAAAATTAGAAGGCAGACTAAAGTGATTGAACACATGTTGGGAATGTAAAATAGTGATTATAAATCAATATAAGTAAGATATGCATATTTTGACGCTGCATGGCATCTCGCAATGATGATAAACGAGCGACGTGACAGCAGCATCAATGCAACAGGAAATGGAGATCAGCAGGCAACACAAGATGATTCACTCCCACACACCTCCGTCTTCGCTTCTACTGTTTTTTGCGGGATGTGTGAGTCTAGCTATACAGGTAAAAATAAGGCATTCGAAATAGTTTATTTACCATTATGTATTATAGGTTTGGTGTTAGTAATGATGATTACAATTTCCTAAATGTTGTAGCTTAATGACCAAACAATGCAATGGTTTTTGACAGGTAGAGTAATTAACCTCATATAATCAGCACAACCTGATTAAAGATATCAGATTGTAAGTGTCAACATCGTTTTATTGTTCAACATTTGCTAGCAAATATGATTGTATATGATCATTTGGTTAATCTGCCCAATACATTTAGTTTCCCCTTATTTGAGGGACTATTTATGTATTAAACGTTTACATTACTACTGGCCATGTTGATCTGATGTCTTACATTAATTAAAAGGGAAAGCTGGCCATTTCACCTACAAATATTGCTTTATATTAGATCCAGTGTTGGGTAGAGCTCCATACAAACACCACATGGCTTAGACTGTATGATATAAAGATGGTGATATAATAATCATGTGAGGCCATAATATATATATAGATAAACGTCTCTCTTTGGCATCATCCAGTGGTAGCATGAAGTGGTGGACAAATTTATGCAATATCAGATATTGGCATATATATTTGGCATTATTTGACTGTGTATTTTGATTTTACTGTGAATTGAGTAATGTATGCTACTGATCCAACACCAGGGAAGTTCTCTGCACTGGTTTTGTATTATTTTACCTAGGTTATATAACTCGACACATTTTATTTGTCTCTCAGAAATAAGGATATGCTGCTACATGCCAATGAATGCTGTTTTTATTGCATTAAACTATTTATCATTCATTCACAATTTGTTGTGTTTTCTTTTTACAAAGTTTAGTTTTTTTTTATTACCAATGGACATTAATATAGTTTATATATGTTTTTATTCAACAGCAGGTGTACTGCAAACAGATTGAAGATCTACTTAAGCAAATAGAGTATGATGCATTAGGACTGTGACACTCTTTTTTAATAATGGATTTAGGCTATGAGTCATTTACTGATGTGTTGTGCTTGCTGCCCTCAGGTGGTGGAGGGCTCCTATGCTATACCCTCTATTCATTCCACATTGGTCAGATGTGTGAACTCAACACTGCAAAAATCCTCACAAACACAAGTGACGGATTATTTAAACTTTCTCCTGTGCTGCAGCAGCATCACAACACAAATAAGTCACTATTGTGAGATACAATGTAATACAATTGAAACGTTTTTTACTTATTTTTAGAAACCAAGTCATCGTTTTTGAAATAGCCTACTAGGTTAAATTACTTTTTTGATTATTATTTTTGAAAAAACTAATATCGAGTAAGTGTTGTATTCACATAAAAAAGAATTATTTGCACTTTTTCTTGAACTTTTTAATGTATTTAATTTATTTTGTATCTGCTCCATTGTTGAAGGAGCCAGAGACTAAAGCTTTTGCCAAAAGTAAGCTATAGCTGAAATGGGCGTCACTTTGTTCGAAAAAGTGTTGGGACCTTTTCTCCAGATTTAACACCAGCATAGCAGAAGACAAAATATGTCCTTCTCCTGGGTGTTGAACCATGAGCACCTGCATGATAATCCAACGCATAGACCTCTGGACCACCGGACCACCAATGTGTTTTAAAATGTTGAAACCCGTACTATAGGTCTTGCTGTGATGTGAATTTGAAGGTATGGAGGACAGAACATGACACAAGTAAAAAAACATGAATGAATACATAAGTACAAGAATAAATAAATGTGAAAAAAACCTGAAAAAAAATAAATGTAGAAATAAATACAGGAATAAATAAATGTGGAAATAAATACACAAATAAATAAATACAAGAAAACATTTAAATAAATGAATGTACAAATATTTTCACTTACAAATGAACTTTGATTGAGTTTGGCACGATTCAGAGGCCTCAATAGCCAGATATAAATGTTTATTAGCTTCAAAAATGGTGTTACTATTAAAGGTTTAGCTACTACCTAAAACTCAGCAACAGGAGTGTAAGGGTTTGAGACCTCAGATTTGAAGCTCTTCTCCACGATACTATGTGAGAACACGCACAAATGTAACAAGCAGCACAATACAAATCAACAGGATAACTGCATGGCTGGGATTGAACTCACCACCTTCTGAATCAAAGACACAAGCTCTTCCTCTATTACATTTTTTTTTTTGCAACAATAACAATTTTGTTTGGAAATGGGGACAAATATTTCCTGTTTCATGTAAACTGCATTCTTCTACTCTTTGACAAGAAAATAAAGCAAGAAGGCAACATTTACTTCAGTCAGTAGAGTAAGGGAAACGTTTTTTTTAAAACATTTTCTATTAAAGTTTACTAACATGTCCAAATTGCACATCTTGACACTAAACCAGTGTTCTTTAAATTATTACATTTATTTATGAACACTACTATAAACTATTTTTCAGAACATTTGTAAGTTAAACTTTTAAAAAGTAATGGGGCCACAATTGTCAGTTTCAAAAAGTGGTGGTGACATGTCCCAGGCGAAAATGACGCCATAAATACTTTTTTTGAAGATCTGTTTTTCATCGCACTGTACAGTCTATGGCGGAAATAGGCTTTCATAGCTTTGTATACACATGCAGCATGCTGTTAATGTGTCCATGTTTTATGAAATGAATAATGAGTGAAAAAGGGAAAGAAAAACACATGCCACTAACATATGCAGAAAAGCAGATGAGCGGATGGGTTTATGATACAAAAAGATGTTATCTTAAAGAAAAAGACCAAACAAGAGCTCCATTATGAATTTCTGGCGCAAGGAGGCGGACAACCGCAATGGTTTGTGGGTATCTTGTGTTTCCTGATATACCCTGACAGTCGGTCAGCTGTTGGAGGAAAGTTTTGAAATAGTTTGATAGCTTTCTGTACTATCTAGTGTTTATTATATGTTTTACCTCATCTGAAGCAAATTCCCAGCGTGTGCTTTTCGTCGGTGTACTTCATCGACTTCCATCCAGTAAATCACTTCGGTTGATATCTTTAATTTGTAAAAGTTCATCGGGACAGTAACTTTTCGGAATGAGTTTGAACGAGCACTCCTTGCAGGCTCTGTCATGGAGAAAACTGTACTTGAGTCGAGCAAAGTTAAAAGCCACGAGTCGCACTTCTGCTCTTTTGTCCGGATTCGCAATGGTAAGTTATCATTGATTTAACTTCTTGTTGTTCCAGAGTATTAGTGCGTTAATGTAAACTCAACTTTAGGCCATCGGCATGTACTGCAGACACACAGCCGGACGTTATGTGACGCAGATGATTGTTTTCAAAGGCTGTCACTTTAAAGGCCTAATGACTGCTGCAGAGCTTAATATTTTCCACCTATCATTTCCGTAATGACAGACAGTGTTGTAAAAAAAAAAAAAAGGTAATAAAATATACTACGAGATGCGTGTGCCTGAATGTGCACGAGATGTATCTCATGGGTGCAGTAGTGGAATGATAATAACGGAAAAAGATAAACAAAACACTTTATGTAAACTCTACTGTGCTTGCCAACATACCAGTGCGGGATAACCTTCCGCCACAACAAGTAGACCGCATAGCCAGGGCCGGCTCTAGAAAATGTGCAGCCCTAGGCGAGATTTTAGCTCAGTCTGACTGGAGAGGACTCTCCCTCCACATTATTGTAGAAACATCTTCTTCTTATATCTGTTAGAGCAGCTAGCACCAGATTCTAATAACAACAGCGCCGGTGTTGTGTCAAATTATGCACCCCCGTCATGAAATGCACCCCTTGACACGGGATTGTGCATTTTAACATATAGTCCGCTATACTATGTTGTCTTTTTGATGGTTGGGTTGTCGAATCCTGGATTTTGCATTCATTCGTCACTTATTTTTCAGTACATTTTTTATTTAATATATGTTTTTATTTAATTGTGACGTCCTGTCTGTATACTTGTGCTTGTACTTGTGCTTTACAATGTATTGTTTATTTTTACATCAAGTGCTTGAGGGTGAGATTAATAGAAACATTTTTATTTTGGGGGGTGCTTTTTACGGCAGGCCAGGGGGTGCATTGCGACGGGGGTGCATCATTTGACACAACACCGGTACCGGTGCGCCCTTCCTCTCTCCCTCGCTCACTCGCCATTTTGGCTGTGAGCCGCGGGCCGCCAGATAAAGCCAACATTCCCCACTTTCATCACTTACAGCGCCCATACGTACAGGGCAATCAAAATGTGTAACCGGGGTTTAAAGGGTGTTACTAATACATTAATTATTGAATAATTGTTACATCAAAGCAAAAATTAGGGTGAGGACCAACGGTCACAAATGTTTTTTCCCTCCAAGAACTGGCAGCCGCAGCGCCTCCCCAAGATATGCGCCCTAGGCGAAACATCTATAACACGCAGTGCTACGGCCGGCCCCGGCGCATAGCAGCACTACAAGCACTCACCCATGTTGTTAACATGTCTTGTTCCTTTGGTTTCAAATTGACAGAAAAACACCAAGTTACACATAGCTTGTATGTTAGCTTATTTAGGTAACACAAATGGCCAAGTAGCCCATACTTGTTTCAAAAAAATGTATTAAGGGGAGGTAAGATATATCATTCCACTTGCACCTGCTTCAATTTTTTTCAATTCATTTTTATGAATACTTTCATTTGATATCTTAAACACTTCGG